AATTTTTTCTCTGTTGCGCCTACTACTATCTTTTTGCCTTGTCATCTAGCATGAAAGTGGCTAATACCACCCTCAAATTTTCCAGACAAATTATACAATTCAGAATTTTCCATATCTTCAATAGTCAATCTTCAGCAATTGTGGAGTCATTGGCACCCTTGAATGCAGATGGTTTCAATATTTGAAATATCTTCAAGTGTCAATCTACTTCTGCCCATTTTAGATCTGAGTCCTCTATTGTTGAAGGATTTTTCGATAGCAGACATATTGTCGACCACTTGTTATATAAATTAAATGATATCCTGTAACTCAACAGTTATTGTTTCCTCGTTTGCACTGTTCTGATTATCACTTATGCCCATAACATTTTCAGATCTTACTTCTTACTCTACACTTGGCTTAAGAGAATGGACCTATATACTTTATGATTCCCCTTCAGACATATTTATCTGTATTAGCAGCAATTATTATTCAAATATAATTAATCATATAATAATTTTATTGTGCACGCATGATACCTTCAAGTCATATGAGTTACCCACCCCAGATTCATTAACCTATAGCTCTCTATAAATCAATTCATATTTAATCTCATTCTTACTTCTTCTAAATTCAACACGCTTCAATCATTCTCTTCATTCATTAACCAGACTCAGACTCTGATACAGTTTTCTATCACACTCCAATTGGCCCCACTCTTACGGGTCGGCTGAGGTGCAATAGAGCCAGACAATTCAGACAAACTAAAATTTCGCCAACACTCATCCTGAGCTACACAATCAAAACCTAGTGAGTGATGAATTAATTTAACTAAATCACCGCAAACATACGTGATACGCTGCATTTTATAATTAATTCATATTTTTATTAAAAAAGTGGAAAATCATATCATCAAAACTTAAAAATTATACAGAGTTGTTAAATCTAACATAAATAAAATACGTACCCAAAAAAATTCACAAGCTCTCAAACTAAAAAAAAAAAATTGTACAAATCACACTTGACTACTCGCCCTAGTGTCTGTTATCCTTTTCTTGAAAGGCAGCGATAAAGAATGAATAACAAGGAGCTCCGCAAAGTAACAAAGGCTAAAATAAGATTTTATATACGGGAAAAAGCATATTTGTTCATATGAAACTGTACACGTCTATACATAAGTCACAGCATACTAGAATCATATAGAACATGAAAAGAAAGAAGAATAGAATTCAAGAATAGAATTCAAAACATGTATAGTCGTAAGCAGATGAAGACTGCAATTGGGTTTAGCAGGGGTGGAGGTGAATCAACTATCCCATGCACATTCTCCTCTCGTGTAGCAGAAAGTGTTGGAAACCTACTTCCATTGAAGAGATGGAAGGTTTCAAATAGGTCGGGTCTAATTTCAAGGGCATCCTTGTTAGCAAATTTCTTTTCTTTATCAGTCCATTCCATTTCAGACATATCATTAATACAAAGAAAGATTAAGGCATAACTAAAGATGGAGAGAGGAACCTTACTCAGTGGAGTCGTCAGAAAAAAATTGGTGGGATTTTTTTATTATAATCATCATAGGTCTCAAAATGTTTCTATATAAATGATCAGATACAACATTCAAATAATAGTATATTATCCTGAAAAATAGAACTATTACTCTAAAATAAATCTAATGACTTGAATGATGAAAGTCTTTATGATTCATGGATCTACAGAACCATGATCTTCCCTCACCTTACGGGTGTAAGATAAAGTTTATTTTATTCTAGGGTCTGGTATCCTTTAAGAGGGCTCTCTCATAGTTAATTACATATCAACAATTACTATTGAGAACACTCTTCTTGCGGGAGGATAGAGTTTGAAGACTTAAATAAAAAGATAGGCTTAGATAAAAGTTGACTTCATTAGAGCTGAGCAACTTAAATTTGTTGAGATAATTTCAATTTTAAAAGTTTATTTTGAAATAAAGTTAAATTTAAGTTGGTTGTTAAATTTTGAAAGGGGTGTTTAAAATTTTAAAAATTAATTTCATAAAAAAATTTCCAAGTTTTGTAAAGTCATTAGATTTATTTTATTTATAATTTAAACTTAGTTTGAGAAATATTAAAGTTCATTTTAAAAGTTCGAAGATTTATTTATCATTGGTTAGAGTTACAAAAAGATTTAATAAATTTGGTTGTTTAGTTTTAAAGTTGATTGTTAAAATTATTTAAGATTTATTGAATTTATGATTGGTTTGAAACTTTTACAAGTTTAGAAAAGCTTGATAAAATTCCTTCAAGTTCATTTCAATCAATTAAAGTTTTTTTTTTTTAAATTCATTAACTTTGTTAAAATTTATTGAAGCTTGCAACATTTATTAAAGTTAATTAAAATTGAAATTTTAATTAAGTCATGTTTATTAAAGTTTAGTTAAGTTAATTAAGATTTATTAAAATTTAATTTATTCTTATTTTTATTCAAAGTAAAGTTAATTGAGTTTTGATTGAACTTGGGTTGAGTTTTAAAATTTTTTCATCCTTAAGATTTGAGCTCAGCAATTGAATGTCAGAGTGATAGTATAGGGTACAATTTTGAGCTGAACTTGATTGAAACTGAGATTGAATTAAATTGGGTTGGAATTGTGTTGGATTGTAATCAATTTGAATTCAATTGATATTGTTCTAAACTACCAACTTCAACATAATTCAATTCAACCACAACCTTGTTCCAAACTATCTTCAAACCAATTCATTCCAAACTAACTTCAAACCCAATCAAACCTGAACCATTTTTTTCTGTTCAATCCTGAACCGAATCCAACCTGTTTAACCCGATCCAGTCAATAAGCTCAATGTACCTGTATTGTGGGCCCTCACTTGTCAGGCCCAAACTCGATGGTTTAACAGATCTAAAATGCAAACCAAAAACATCAAATCTAGACTTAATTGGCTTTAATCAACCCCATAAAACTTAACAAATCTTCGCTAATCCTAATTAATGTCCCACCCACTCAATTTCAAGTAAACTTCAATAAGTTTAATAGACATTAATGAACCTTAATTAATCATAACCTCAAGAAAACAAACTTAATAGATATTTAGCGATCTCTTAATAAATTCAATAAAACTTTTAGCAAATAAATCTTAATAAACTTGAACAAACTTTAATAAATTTTAATAAACATCAACGAACAAACTTTAATAAATCTTTACAAACTCAAATGAACTTTAAATAAATATTACTGAACTCAAAAAAAGCCTTAACAAACTTCAATAAATATTAATTAACTAAAACTTCAATAAACTTAAACAAATCCCAATAATAATAAACCTTAAAAGAACTTTAATAATATTCAAACAAAAGTTCATTTAAATAATAACAAGTCGATGTAAAACAAACCTCGGACCCTAAATCGCGAGATGCGACTTTCCTAGTGTCGCTTCGTTTGCACAGTCCGCCCCTGCACTGTAACAAGGATAGTGAAATCCTTCTACCGAGCAAAACCGAGAAAGGGAGGGGGGAAATGTGGCACTTAAGTTGATCCTAAGCAATTCTTAGCCATTCGATCTCATCTAACTGACGCATGTGTGTGTAAGTGCGGAAGGTTTCAATGGCTATAGTGAGGGAATCAAGAGATTAGGGAAATATTAGGATAAATTAAGGTTTAAATTAAGTTAATTAAGCTCATAGCTTCAAAATTTTATCTCCCCCAATCAGTTAAAATTTCATGCATAATACTGTATATTGAATTGACTGATTTGACATGCAGAATTTTATAAAAAAAATTCGATTGAATTCTGATGGGTGCAAAATTTGAGTGTAACATTTACGCTAGATATCTTACGTTGTTATGGGATATTATGAATATTAATGTTTGTAATTTTGTTTAGTAATTGCAGGTGTGTAAAATTTCATTTTTTATGGGACCCTTTTTTTCTGCTCTATGCTACCTGCTGATTAGCAGCAGAAATTTCAGCCGCTAAATTAGTGAAAATTCAGTAGCTGATTGGTTTAAAATTCAGCTGCTAACTTTTGCGGCTGAATGGGCAGCCATTAATAAAGTTAATGGCTATTTTTTTCTGCCGAAATTATTTAGCGGCAAAATATTCAGACAACAATCAGCTATTCAACTCTAGCGGCTAAATTAATCAATCGTTAACCTACAGCGGCTGACTTAACCAGCCGATAATGCTTTCTGCCAAAGTTTTCCCAGCTGAGATAGATCAACTGCTAATCGGTCGGTAATCTAATTTACTGCTAATCGGTCGGTAATCAGCGTCTTTCCCGTAGTGTTAATCAAGAAATACCATTTTATGACTCATTAATGTTTGGAATACTAACGTACTCAATAAAAAGGAAGTAATATTATGACCCTTGATGCATCACCAAAAAACCATATGCAGCTTCAAATACATAAGAAAAAGGTGCTAAAAAATCAAGGTTTAAAGTTTTAAGTTATAAGTTTCGAGGATGCTAATAATTGGTCCTAAAAATTAACATTTTGATTATAAAAATATAGAAGAACAAAAGAACGATACCGAATGAAAACTTTTTGGCCCAGAATTTTATGAAGTTGTTCAATAGAAGGAAATGATTTTGTTGAATAGAATGTAATTTTTATCTTAACCACCAATCCACAAAGAAGAAAAGAGCACAAAAAAAAAAATTGGGGATCTACATACATGGCACATAATTCTTATGAAATTACACATCTCACACTTAAAATTTAATAATTACACACATAGCAATCAAATCTTTGATATCACAACAAAAATAGCATTATTACCACTTTTTAAAAGTAAATACATAATTTCATGCATAGGTTTAAATCAACAAAATACTATGTATGTAAATAAAAAATTTTAGATGTAAGACATGTAAATACTCAAGAATTGTGTGATACATATGTAAATTTCCCAAAAATGATTAGTTCCTGCAAAGTGATGTACGTCAAAAAGGCTAAAGCAAAATATAATTCCATTTGAATTAGCGCTGTATCAAAAAAAAAAAATAATGAAGCAACAAAGTGTCAGAGGATTTACATTGTATAAATCATTCAATGCTCTCCATCCTGTTGAAACACCCATTTCGAACCCTTGATTACAATTATAATAATCATTGATCTCAGTGAAGAAATTGCTGAAGTTAAATAGACCCCTTATGGGAAACAATTCAGCTGTCTCTATAACTTGCTTCAACGCATTTTTTCCCAAAATGTTCAGCACCTGAACAGAGAAGGTTGAAAAAAATTGTTAGATGCACAGCAATGAAGATTTTGTTTTTATTATAAATGGATTATACGCATTTGAATTATTCCCTTTCAAAATAGCAAATGGGTTATAAGCCAAGTAACTCTGGCAAGCTTTACAAATATCTAGCACAAAGCTTAAAATTTAGCTAGTGAAGTGTCATAGTAGCAAGGCACTTTTTCAGGAGATCTATAGGTCTCAAGCAATGTTCTTCCACGTTCAATAGCATTAGGCAAAGAGTTAACAAATAAGCTCTGCAAGATCTAAAGAGCTGATAATTAAAGAGCGTATTTATATCAACATTTTTAAGCATCAATATCACTTAATCCAAGCTATGTAGGTTCAATATTATAAATTATTATTTTCTATTAATTTTGCTGTGTTCTATGAGGTCTTAAAATTTAAATATATATTGCTTATATATATTAAACTCTGTATGCTATCTTAAGCTCTACAGCCTACTCATCCTAATCCTTCGACACTAATTTTTTCACCCATCTAATCGATGCATTCTCTATCCTATGTTCTATGAGTCTAAAAAGAGGGGTCAAAATACAGTTTTATAAAATATTACATTTAAGTCTCCATCCTTCGCATAATGTTTTTAGGGCACTTCTCCACCACAATCACCTCGTTTTAACTCTTGAAATTATATCTTCTTCTATATCCACATTTCTCCAGGTAATAAATTCAATGTATTCAAACATATCATTTTCATCATAAAATAATTAGCCATATTCCAACTCTTTTTTTGTCATATTTACACATTTTTCTTTCATTCAAATTGCGTTGATAGAGCTGATAAACCTATTGTGGGCTCTGAAAGCACTTATGAAGCTCAAAGAGATGAACCCTTTTAATCACAAAGATTTCATAAGCAGATTATTTGATTTCCTAGATATTTCTCCTAAGATGTATGAACTTGGATTTAAAATAGATATGTGGATTGAAGCTTTCCAGAGAAGGTGAGACCATGAGAACACTCTCAATTGAGGACATCATTGCGCTTCGGAATTGTGGGAAGAATTTAGATTTGTGCATGGAGGTCATGAATGTGGATGAGTAGTCAACCCAATAAGGATATGTAATTTTGTTGTCCTAGGCAGCTTTGTGAGCCCAGCGTAGTAAAGATAAGGAACTGGAAGGCAAAGTCATTTTGAGTTTGGTTATCAGCCTGATACCATAAATAAGGTAAAACAGAAATCAGCACTTCAGAAAATCCAGAAAACGGGAAAAAGTTTAGACCAAAAATCCAACGAAAGGGAAGAATGCATAAACTATAATGAACGATGATTCCAGGATACTGAATATATGTCTTAACCAGAAAGGATACATAAAAAATTATTACAGCCAATCAAAATACTCTTCATCATCGACCCATATAAAACAGCAATTATTTATAGAGGATGGACTCTCCTAATTATAAGTATGACATCATAAAACATAGAGAGAACAAAAAACCGAAACGCATGTACCAAGACATATAAATTGACATAAAATCCTAGTTTTAGGGTTGGCAAAGTTCCCACATATTGAGCAATCTCGGAATCTGATTCCTAATAAACAACCAACTCAAATACATTAAAAAATGAAGGACTCGCTCTAATCTCCAGGTATGTTTAAGTTTGGTGATCCAAGCACCTTCCAACGTCGTATCTTCAAGTCCAACCTTCTTTGGAACCAAGAGAGATGGAACGGTGCACGGGCTAGAACTATGTCGCCCCAAGCCTTTGTGGTTCAACTCATCCACTTAGCATTGAAGTTCTTCCGGCTCCTTTGGAGACATCCAATATATAGGTTTTTCTCATCCATCGAAGGCAGAAGTCCTAGAAAAGCCCCTAACCAGAGGTGAACAGTTTCTTTCAGTACGCTTGACAATGGAGCAGGTATAGGAAGCTCTTATTCCAACAAAAAAGAAAGAGGCGCTAGGCTCAATTCTTACCGATGATATTACCAGTTATTCCGACAACAGCTTATTCTATCACCCTCGGGTCACTCCCTCAAGCACTTATCATTGGCTTTAGCACAGGATTCCTTGCACTACAATTTCTATCTCATCACACTGAATGGAAGAGAGGAGAGAAGCAATGCCAATAGTAGAACTGCAATGTCAAACTGTATGAGCTTACCTTAGTGCTGAAAAAGAGATAGCTGACAGAAAGAAAGCAATTGGATCACTGGGGACTCAAAATGAAACTGGATCAATAGTTGCCAAGAGAACAAACAACCGCCTGCAAAGGAACTGGAGGAGATTACCTGGGGGCAAGGCTTGCTACTCTTCTCTTTTTTTGGGCAAGAAACGGGAAATTCAACTACTACCACGAAGGCTGACTTGATAGAATCTGGGATATGTCATTGTCAGACTTCTTTAGACTAGCCAGGGAAAGTGACTCGTCAAGCCGGGTTACAAAGCGAGTCAAGGTGCGTAGCAAAGAAAAAGAAAGAATCTCTTATTCTCTTACCTATTGGTAAAAGGCACTGGATCTCCCATTGCTGGGAAGGGAACTCAAAATGGCAACTATTACCACCTGGATCATACCTATTTGCTCTATCGATAGAAAGTCTTCGCTCGGCTGGGAACTAGCACTTTTCAGGAGCAGGGCGAAGCAAAAGAACTCCAATTGGATTCAAACCTACCTGATGGAATGATTTCATTTATCCTTTGACAATATCTTCAAGTGAAAAGGACTGCTGTAGATAAACTACTTAGACCGGGTTTAGTACTGGGACAGGGAATTTGAATAGCCTAAGGATCATGAGCTCTTGATCTACACCACATTCAACCAAACCAGGCCCAAGTTCTATGGCATGTTGTATTTCTCTCATAGAAGACAATTCTGCAGGAATCTCTACCGGAAAAATGTCTCAAATTGTTATGTCAATCCCTGCACTTCAAAAGGAGTTGCAGTTAGTTGTCCAAAACTCTCGGTTATGATCAAAAAGTACCCCATAGCTGTCACCTTAAGCTCCTTCAAAAGCAATAGAGCAAAAGTGTTGATCTCAGTCCCCACCTAAATTTCCTCCTTCATAGGCACCTGAGTGGTTTGAATTCTCTCTGTGATAAAGAAATAAGTGTTAGCATACTCATCATGAATTGTATGGCAATCGTATTGCGAAGGCCAACAAAGCAATATATGACAAGCATCCGTAAAAATTACATCACATAAGATCTGCTTCTGAAGTTTCCGAGTAATTGAAAACGACACCATGCATTGCCGATTAACTTTAATTTTGCCCACTTTTTGAGCCACATGAGTTGGCAGAGATGGGGATGAGGTTGAATGGTTAAACCAAGCTTCTCCACCGTGGTCTTTGCAACCACGTTCTCACAACTTCCATCGTCGATAATAAGGTTACAAACTTTATCCAAAACTATGCATCAAGTTCTAAAGATATTATGTCGCAAAAAATCTTTATTGGAAAATATTTCGATATTTAGGAGGTATCTTATCACAAGTAATTCCCCTTCGTCAGTTTGTAGAATTTGGTCCCTTGTTGGATTAGTATTATCTTCTTCTACCGCATCATTTTCCTATTGATCAGCCTCCTCCACCAATGAAATAAGGCGCCACTTAGGACAAGTCGAAGATATATGGCCGAACCAATGAAATTTGAAGCATCTAATACCACATGTAGTTCCTTCCCTCGTTATGGTAGCAGTCCCTTCCAGCTGGACAATAATTTTGTTATTTTTTTCAGCATTTCAACAATCGGCCTGTGCCCGAAAGTGGACTGATTTGTTGGAACCGCCCAAGTCATTAGCAAGAATGCATATTGGAGTGTTCCTATCAAATTTCTGCTATTTTTTAACATTTACCCGCCAAGTTAATCGCATCATGTTAGGTCCATAACAGTTGGAGTTGAACCACGTAAATGATAAATGGTTGTAGAGCACCCAAAAAAACGTGCAATAGTGTGCTCTCCGAGTTCGGAAAGATTGCACTTCAGCCCCAACTGTTTGAATTCAGCGATATATTCCTCTACGGATAATTCTTATTGATGAAGGTTATGAAGTCGGATGAAAGACTTATTGCAGGTAACGCTTAAGTAAGAAATTCCGTTGCATTTCTTCCTTTATTTTGGTCCACGACGTGACCTTAGGTATTCCCTCGCTTTGTCAAATCCTCTTCAAGTTTTCCTACCAAAGTGAAGTGTTCTTCAATTTGATCGCCACTAGTTTGACGATATATCATTGTGACACCTTTAATTCCAGTATTCGTTCAATTGTATGTAGCCAATTGACAAATTCATCGGAATCCAATCTTCCATCAAATACAGAAAGGTTGATTTTGATTACAAAATATGGAGGTTCCCATCAATTTTCACGCCTCAACATGCGTAGAGGTTGTTCATCACCACTAGATGTCTCTTGATAGAATGAATTATCATCTTCTTCACCAATCATCTCATTTTTTAATACATTTTGACATTCTTCCGGATCTCACTGTTTAAGAAGTGTCAATCTTCTTTGTAGATGATGAATTTCTTGTTGCAATTCTTCCACAACCAAATCTCGGGCTAGACGGACATTGTTCCTCCTTGGTAGCATGATTGAGAGGAGAACTACAAACAAATGCAGAGACAACAAAATGTTCGAAAATTTCTGAGCAATAACTGGAATCAAGAAGCCTAAAGATGGAGTATTAATAACCTTCTACAGCTGGACGGCAAAGAAATGTGGCCACTACAGTGAATCTAGAAAGAAATCAACAAATATGGACTGTAAAAACCGTAGAAACCTGGACTGCATACCCAGGAAATCTAGAGAGAAAAAGCGCAAGGCAGTTCTTGCAATCACCGAACCTCATAAAATAGAAAGTTTGGACAGAAATCAGACTTTTGTCTACAATTTCTGGAGTACTAATTCTGGGCAAATTCTGTCCACAAATTCTGGACAGAAATCCAAGAAAGAATTCAAAAAAAATGGAAAGAAAAAAAAATGGAAAGAAAAAATTTTGAAATGCGCAAGAACTTGG